GTATGTTGCAGCCATTGCAGAAAAAAATGCATGACCTGCGTAAGGGGTAATGTTATTTTTTTCCTGCAAATGCTAATATTCAGTGGATGTTCATATATCAAATGATGACAAAATAAAGTGTTTGCCAAAAACATATCTGGTGTTTTGCTATACTTTAGAAGGAGCGTAAATAGTTAAGATAAAGAACAATGATCAATCACATTCAGCGCAAACATAGACAATAATGAACAGGGTAAAAACATTAATCTTTGGAAACATCAGAAGTGGAATCAAGTGCCAAGGAGGAGTAGGCATTCCCCTATTTAAAAGCGCTAGCGCTTGTACAAACTCTTTCAATGTACGAACTTTTACAGAGAGTAAGAAGCATGTTGAGAACCCTGGTGCTTTTGCGTATGGAATCAAATGGGAGGCATAAACTCCATATGCCAGTGATAATGGTTTATTGCTCCATAAATAAAGGAAGTTGACAGTACTAGTAGAAAAGTTTAAGTTGCCTCGCTTGCCGTGAATGTGTTAGTTTGCCATCAATGTCTTTCTTTAGTAAAATTTCCAGATATTAAACTCTCTGTTTGGTGTCTTTTATTTCAAGTTCAAAGAATATAAGCAGTCACTCTTCCATCCCCAAGCGCCCACACTAGAACAAATTGAAAGTCAAGGTCACAGTTTGTATTCCGGATAGACCTTGAGGATACATAACACAAACAAAAAGAAGCATGGATTGATAATAATTTGGACGGATTTTGAATAGAATTGTACAAATAATAAATCCGTAAAATATACAAAGAAATCGTAATTTTCCCTGGTGCTTTGATATAATACTTTGTGTCGTTTTCTATAAGATTCTATTTCAAATTTCGCACACAATTTTGATGAAATGACCTTATCTTACAAAATTTTCATACTGGACCAACAGGTTACCTATTTGAATATTAATTCAGATAAATATTGAATGATCTCTGAAAGAAAAAAAAATTAGTATAATGTATCCTTTATAACCATGGTTCCGTGTCACAGTAGACGTTGGCATGTTAAAAAACCTTTCCTGTGCAAAAGCCATGAAAACCAAGGAAAGGTCTAAATTCTTTGAAGCCCTTCACTCATATATGTTGAAGCCTTAAAATATGGATGAAAAAATTTTTGCAAGGGACATAAAACATGTCAATAAATTGGATTGAAGCCATTGCAAGCAAAAGACATTTTTTCTATTCATGTTGAAGTTGTTTTTTTTTTCATCAATAAATTTTGCTTCATATGGATACAAAAATAGGTCTGCTACGGCGGGGTACATTTAACATCCAGACCATAGCAGGTAGTTGGAAAACGTAAACTGAGGACAGGTTGAGGTCAAAAGTTTGATTTTGAATATATATTGAGTTCTCATCAACATATGAGCCTGAAAATATGCAGGTTTGTATGAACATGCCAAAATATATAGTTCCATTGTCAGAATAATTTCAAAAGTTATTTTAATTTGAAATCGGAATAAAATCTACATACTGATATTGTCAATCGGAAATTAGTGCATTTTTAAATATCAGCCTCGGAGTAATCTTTTTTTTAAATTTATTTTTATAAAATAAGTTTGTAGATAACCAATGGCAAGGTTTGTAAAGTATTGAGTTTTATTCACATTTTTTTTTATCAAAACGCAAAGATTTGTGTATGTAGTTAAGGATTACAGTAATACTATATAGATACAGTACTATAGTAATTACAGTAGTAATACTATATAGATACGGTGCTATAGTATTTCAAATTAAAATTGTTAGGAGTATCAAAAATACTTTAAATCTTACAAACAATCTTGAAGAATTCCCGCCTTTGAAAGGGGACGATGTATCTATTTATAAGTTTCTGTATTTTGAAAATCCCTTCATATATTGCATGTTTTTCTGTAGATTCATAATCGACAAACTGGGTATAAAATGTGTAAAAGTAAAGAGTACGAGTAATGAAGTGTAAGGTCTATTTCCTTTACATGTATTTTAACTGATGTTTCATTCGAAGACTCGGAAATATCGTCAGTGTGAATGACAGTGACTTTTATTTCGTTCTCTTTAGAAACTGATTTGATTTTTCTTTATTTTTAAAGATTTTTTTAAAGTTTATTTGTAATTTTGAACATAGCTTTTCCTTCCAAGAGCGATAACTCTAAACGAAAGATGTTAGACATTGTAAGTAAGTAAGTAAATTATTTATTATAGTGACATGTGTATTGTTACAGTAATACAATATATTTTACAACAATAAGTTTAGTTTCTTACACCCGGCCCAAAGGACCTATATGTCACTGTTAATATTTTAACAAATTATATATACAGAGGCACATAATGCAGATAAATGATATTTAGAATGTTCTTTTTATGAAGTTCTGGCGAGTTTTAAAAGCATCAAATATAAAGTTTGCAGATTGTCTGGGAAATTTAAGAAATTGAACCTTGTATTTTGGACTAGTAGGATAAATTAACGGTTTTGGTTATTTTCAAAATCTACTGATTTTAATTAATTGATTTATCTAATTAATCAAGGGTATCTTTCATTATAAATCTTTTAATCAAGGGTATCTTTTTATTATGTTTAACTCTTTATTTCAATATAGCTTTATCATCGTTTCTCGGGTTTCAGCAAATGTTCTTCTTTCTTTACTCCTCACTAGGACATTAACAGTAGTGAAGGAGAAACTTCAAGAGCATTGTGTATTAATGTATTCGAGAAATGGTGTACATCATATGTGGATACTTAAAAATTCCAAGGAATTTTTGGGAAACATGAAATAACAAGGTTTTACCAAAATCAACAGATTAAAAACTTACGACTTTTCAACTTTATACACAACCATTCCCCACAATAAATTGAAGTCCAAGATATTTGATATCATTAACAGCTGCTTTTCAAATAAACTCATACATTTACTTACCTTGCCATTGGTCATTTGCAAACTTTATATTTTGTGAAAAAAATTCTAATTGTACACTGACATTAAAGAGATGCTTGAGTTCCTGATTGACAGCATCTATGTGGTTTTTGGAGACCAGGTTTTCCAACAATCTGTTGGAATTGTCATGGATACCAATTGCGCCCCGTTTTAGCAGATCTATTTTTGTATTCATATGAAACAGATTTTGTCCAAAATCTTATACGTGAAAATAAGAAATAAACATTTACTGTGGCCTTCAGTTCGACATTTAGATATATTCACAACGTACTGTCAATTAACAATGAATTAACAATTTCCATTCTTATGTCAGTACGAAATATTCCGGTGAGCTTGAGATAATACAAGATAAAGTAGAATCTGACACATCTGTTTCATATTTGGATATATTACGTGAAAAATCTAATAATCTAACAACCAAGTTCTATGATAAACGTGATGACTTTAACTTTTCAGTCGTCAACTTCCCTTACTTACATGTATGCAGCAATCTACCTTCATTAGTGACCTACATACGGTGTTTATACATGTTTATCTCATACGTGTTGGTGATACAGTCCATTAGATAAACTTTTGCTTTATCCACGGGTAGATGCTTTATCAATAGCACTTCCGGTTTTGACACGATCCCTCGCTTCAAGATTTTATTTTATTGAAACTTTTATTTGTGAAAATTATTGCCCTAATAAAATGAATGATAAAGAGCGATAATATCGTTAAAAGCAAGAAAAAGGCTCGTATATGTCAAAAAAGTGTCTTATTCTATCAAGGAACCTGCTACTTGAAGGCAGATGTTACCCCCTTTAAATCGTTTTCGGAGAAAGTAAAAGCCTAGCAGTTAAGTTGTTGTTATAAGATTCCTTTAGCATCTTCAATAATGCTTTCTTATATATTATACTACGTATGCCTACCTAATAGACCTAATGTGGGTGCAACAAAAATTCTAAATTTTGAACACGATCTACTTTCTTTCGAGGCATGTCAACATCAACGGTGCTACGTCATCAAGTAATACTCAGTACGTCATCAATTTGAATTGACAATCATTCATGTAGTTTCGCAGGGGAAGTCTCAAAGTTTAGTTAAAACAAAAGTCGTATGAGATAAATAGAACATCTATAATTGTGTGATTTGATATTGGCTTTATCCAACTCAAGTCGTTGAAATGGTGTATATTCGCTCAGCAAGCCTCGCGAATATATACACCACTTGAACTCGTTGGATAAAGCCAATATCAAATCACACAATATATATATCCTCTATATATCTCATTTGATTCGATACACAAGAGCATGCTCTACGGGGTACATTAGATTGTGCAATTACTATATAAAAAGGGAAAACGTGCTATCCTTTGGACATGTAAAATACACATATCATGATAAAGAAAATTATTAAATCTTAAATTGAATTTTTGTATTTGAAGAACTCACTCCAAAGCCTTTAAATTGCTTTTTTTTTTCGTGGGGGAACGGGGGCGGGGGGGGGTCATAATTATGTGCATGCATACAGACACAAACGAAGCGAAAATATTTATATTTACGTAAGTCAAACTTTTTTCATAATCACCATGAGTATTTTAAAACATGGTGATGTTTATTCTATATCCTCTTACAAAAAATATGTAATTTTAGTCTAATATTAATTGACAGTCAATTTGGTATAAATTACTAGTCAGTTAATAGTACTCAATACTGAGCTCAAATTTACATTTGAAAATCTTTTAATGAACAAATTACCATTCATGTCGACCAGTGACCTTTATACTAACCATATATGTCCCTGTGTCGACTGAATGATTGTAAAATGTTAAGAAAAGAATCGATCGAGAGTTGGCGTGTGTAGTTCTTGAAATTAAAACATTAGGCCTATTTTGTAAAATATTACTTGAAAAATTGTCGAAATTTGTTCTAGCTGTATTTATTGTTTAAATTTAACCTTAACGATTAATGTAAACAGATTAACATATTCTAAGTGCTCTGGTGATCTTAAAGTGCCCATAAGTACATTCAGTCCTTTGATGAAGAAGTCCCCCTTGTTTATTTTTAGAACGCATGCGCTGTGACCTTTCTGTCGGAACATGGGGAACTACATGTCGGCAAAACAATGATTTGCTTTCGTTTTCAAGGGTTAATTCCTTGAATCGGATCACGATGAAGGAGATGGTCGGGGGTTGCTGTGTCTGTTCCGATGAGAGAGGGTGGGCGGAGAACCCCCTTGTATATTGTGATGGTCAGGGCTGCAACGTAGCGGTTCATCAAGGTAGGGGGGGCACTAACGATTTGTAAATAATATTATAAACATGAAGATTGCAATTGAATAGTGTGTCGAAATATTGCTGAACTTTAAATTTTACGTTTATTTTGTTTAACAGCTTGTTACGGAATCGTACACGTACCCAAGGGGCCTTGGTATTGCAGAAAATGCGAATCCCAGGAACGAACAGCTCGAGTTGTAAGTTTCGCGGCCATTTTGAATTAGACCGGATGCACGTTTTTCTGTGTACATCAAAAGCTGAAGCGCAAAAAACTTAGCCTTATTTGTTGTAAGAGCTCGGATGTTTTTACTTTTATTGGAAGACAAGGTTGTCTAAGTAATAGGTTATGAAGAGTAAATTACATATGTGCAGTAATCTGTCAGTTGCAGTATTTTGAAGGTTGATTTACTGTGGTCTTTGGTAGGCTAGTCATTTAGTGTCTTATGTTGTGCTATTTCAGCAACCTTTATTTGTGTATATTGGTTACTGCACTAGTATATGACGGAGGGATAAGTTCAGAATGAAGTGTATGCAGAGCTCCAGATAAGGTGCGTATTTGCAGAAATATGCATTGAATTTTACAAAATAGGCATTGAAAATTAAAGCTGTGCATACAGATACGTATTAGCAATCATAGATAAGCATTATAACACGAAAGTACAGCGTACAATTTGCATACTATGGGTTGAATCATACAAGTACAACTTAGGTAATGATATTAATTGAGGACCTAACTCGGTGTTTAATTTTTCTCAAAATGAATTAAGATTTAATTGTTTTAATGACCACGAACATTCTTACTAGTAATGGCGGTGACAATTTCCATTTCGGGAAAAAGAATCAAAGACTTAGTTTAAAATCTATTTCGCATAATATATGTATTAAATTTTTAATTTACCGATCAAGAGTTCTCTTAAATTCTCTAGAGTTCTCTGTTTAGTAACTTTACCTACTGTGTGATCTTCCTTGTCAAAAAAGAAATCAATGTTTCTCGGTTTTAGCCAAAAGTATTGTTTATATTTTCAAAATTTATTTAAATAAATGCAGAAACTGTCCATTGTAGTTTTTTCTTCTTCTGAAACACTTGTTTATTCAAAATACTCTGAAATCATTTTACTGAAAATAAAAAATCTGCATTGACTTGAAATTCATTGAGTAAATACACTTTGGGGTAAAAAATTATCTGGAGCTCTGGTATAGTTGTGTTACTTGCATATTTAAGTAGCTGTAATTAAAGATTTTTCCTGGTGAGAACGTTGTTAATTGTTAGAACTTGTGTTTAAACCATTTGTATATTAGTTATACAATAAAATATGTTCAAACGAAAGCTTTTTCAGTCTTCATGGTCTTGGACATAACATTATACATTTATTGCATGATAGTGAGGGAAATATGAAGACTTATTCAGCCAAGAAAAATCATATTCCCCGAGGGCTTCGCCCGAGGGAAATATGATATTTCTTGCCTGAATAAGTCTTCATGTTTCCCGAACATTCATGCAATGAATTGTTTATTATACCGAAACAAGCAAAACCTTTGAAATAAACATAAACTTTCAAATTCGGCACCACTCTCAAAGTCACTTTCATTTCTAACGTAAAGTTATTATAAAACCCTTCGTTCAACACATTTTCATCAGTTTTTGTGACGTAAACCAGGCTATTGTGATGTCTACTTCTCTCGGAAGTTTTTGTTCAACGAACGAGAACTATATTGCGGGAAAATACATTAGGTGTTCCGAAGAGGTGGAGCATGATGAAAAGCGTGCCGACGGGCGGGAAATATGAAGTTTTACGGCCTGATCACGTGATAACTTAGAACCAATCAGATAACGCGTTGTTTAGAATATTTATAATGAGGTATAATAAATATATTTCCTTTTCAAGTCATTAAATTTTAGTGAAATCTTGCAAGTCATTGAATTTAAGGAGAAATGTAGATTGTACATGTCTTAGTAAAGTGGGTTAATTTCTTTTACATTTTCCTCTACAGAAATGTGAGTTGTGTCCCCAAAAGGATGGTGCACTGAAGAGAACTGACACAGGAGGTAATGGTACTGACTAGTGGTACAGACTAATATTTACTATGTGCCGACACAGGACTGTTAGTACTGGCTAGTTATACAGCTACACTGCCTAATATTTACTCTGAACTGAGTTGTGACATTTGTCAAAACTCGAGTTAATTATGTTAAATTTTTAACTGTGGATGAAGACTGACTTTGAATTTTCCCTATCATCTGGAGTGTAAAGCAAATTTTGAATTTCAAATTTCCATGATTTATTTAGAACATTTTATCACAAGGTTTAGAAATAGTAGAATGCAGATGTTAATGTAAAAGATTATTAAAGATGTTAAGTAATTGTGACGAACCATTCTGTGAATGTGACCATTCTATGACTTTGTTGTAAACACTGTCAGGTTGATCCGTGCCTCTTAAAAAGATTTTTTCTGCTTTCAGTTGCCTGGTGTCACGTGGTGTGCGCTCTATTTATACCAGAGGCTTGGTTTGCTAATGTCCAGACCATGGAGCCCATTGTTTTGAAAAATGTCCCTCCTGAAAGATTTAATAAAGTAAGTCAACTACATGTACTTACGTGTACATAAAAACAAGGGCTTCATATTTTAACGCCTTTGGCGTAGACAACAATGGGTTAGTTAATGAATACCGCTCAGAAATTATTAATATTAATAAAATATACGGCACATACATGTGTAGTGCTAATTCATGATTATGTCAACAATTCCATGCCAAATAATTCCACTAAATTTTGAATACACAATTTTCGTACACATACAGTAACTCCGGTGATAACAGAGAAAAAAAAAACATAATTATTAATTACCCCGCCTCCTTCCCATGACAAACACACACACTCCAAATAAATGTTTGCCTACCTTACCATTTCTGTGATTTTATATTTGACAATCTAAATGTTTTATTTTGAAATGATTCAAGCAAAAAACTATTTCCCCAATATTTTGCTTCACAAAAGATTCCTCTGGTCACTATAGGAGATAATTTGTTAATGATGTTAGTGATTTATTGGAGAATAAAGGCAGTGGCAGCTTTCTTTTTGATATTAGTGTTAAGGCCATGACAAATAAATAGTGTGTTTCCTGTTCCATCCTGAGAAAAAAATAGGGTAGATAGGTATACACATTAATTTTTTTCGGCATCTCGGAAGTCGACTTTGTACCGTTCCGGTTTGGAGTTTATAGAGCGCATTTCGTATCCTGTTATGACAGAGCTAGTGGCACGCTGGATGGAAAACAGTTTTTAGTAAAATGAGAAGATTTCGATAAAAAAAGAAAGCATTTTATTTATTTTAACATTTAATTGGCAAGTAAACTGCCATTATTCTCTAGAAATCACTTTCAAAATATTTCTGATTAATGTGCATACAATATGCATTTTCTCAAACAAGGAAGTGATCCAGATTAGCTTGATTATTATTGCTTATAGTAAAACTGAGAGATTCTACTCTTGAAAGATATTGGCAGAAAAAATTTCAGGATCTGTCCTTTATTTTAGGGTTGATTGGGGAACCAGAAACACACAATTTATTTATTTAGGCCTAACCATATTGGCAAAGGCATCTTTCTTTTAATATGGGTGTTAAGCGTAATAGAATTTAGAGTAAAGTAACCATAGCTATGTTGATCTTTTATAGGTGTGTTATATATGTGATCTTTTACAGGTGTGTTATATATGTGATCTTTTACAGGTGTGTTATATATGTGATCTTTTACAGGTGTGTTATATATGTGATCTTTTACAGGTGTGTTATATATGTGATCTTTTACAGGTGTGTTATATATGTGATCTTTTACAGGTGTGTTATATATGTGATCTTTTACAGGTGTGTTATATATGTGATCTTTTACAGGTGTGTTATATATGTGATCTTTTACAGGTGTGTTATATATGTGATCTTTTACAGGTGTGTTATATATGTGAGGAGAGTGGTCGGGTAGATAAGGCTAACTCTGGAGCCTGCATGCAGTGTAACAGGAATGGCTGTAAGATGAATTTCCATGTCACATGGTAAGTGTAACAACTGTTCTTATTGGGTTGTAGGCAAAGGCTTCTCACGTCAGAAAATGTTACAACCTTCAACAAGGGGTTTAGAAAGTAAAAATGTTGCTTACAAAAGCAAACTTTTGAGTGTTTTTGCAGAAATACAGTAATCTTGAACCTGATGGGGCTGAGAAAAATATTTGAGATATCGGAGGAATTGAGATATCAAAGATACATTACTTAGTGAATATGTGATTGGGACTTCAATATCACTTCAACATATCCATGGTATTCCAGATATCAGAGTTCGAGATATCAAAAGTTCAACTGTATATAAATTGGCTGTGGTTGTCAGGCACTGGAACTGCAGTTGAAGCAACACACTGCAAGCAAATTAATTGAATATGTTCTTTATTTATTGCAGTGCTCAGGCACAAGGACTTTTGTGTGAAGAGGCTGGTAACTATGGAGACAATGTGAAGTATTGTGGGTACTGTGTCCACCATTACAAAAAGCTGGTGAGAATTTTTTAAGAAAAGAAATAGAGATAAGATTTTTTCCCATTTTCTTTTCTTAGCCTTAAAAAAAACCAATGTTAATTCTTTTATTTTATATTGGAACTCAATGTTAATTTGTATTTGGTTATAAGCCCCCCCCCCCCCCCCCATAAGAACCTCCTAACAATATTCATACTGGATGGAGGATTCCTAATTCATAAATCATTTTATGGCTTTATCAGAAATTTTTTTTATCAAATATCATGGGGTACTCTTATTGAATATCAGAATATTGATAAACCAGATTTAACATCCTTATTTGTAAACTAATATCTGATGCAGTTTTTTCTCTAAGAACCGGCTAACGGCCAAATTGACCGCTTGAATTGACAAAAATGCCGATTTGAAATAAAAATTTTGTTGTATGGTCCACAGAGATTTTGTTCATAAACCTCTGCCCCTAGCCTGTTACAACTGATCTCTAACCCTTTACTTTGAAATAAAGATAAAACACTGTCTGACGTGATTTTTTTCGTCTGATGTAGGAAATATTTGTGGATTTCTTTTAATTTTATTCTAAAATACATTTGCAGAAGAGAGATGCCAATATAAAACAGATTCCAGCTTTCAAGCCTATTCCTGCAGATAATGCCAGTCCTGACAAGGGAGATAAATCTAGTGTAACATCCTCAGATATTCGTGTTAAGGTTGGATGTCAGGATGTTCAGCAAAGAAAGGTGAGAGAAAGTTGCTTTGGAACACATCTTTTAAAATCGAGATGCTATCTCAAAGAATATCTATAACAAACCATGATTTAAAAAAAATGTTGCTTGTATATCACAATATTGATATTGCATCACTTAATAATTTAAAATTAATTGTTGTTTAAGTTACTGTGAATAATATAAATTTTTGGAAATCAATGTTTGCAAGCAAAATTTCGTTGGTTCATGGGGACATTATTTTGTATTTAACTCCCATATACAGAAGATGCAGTGAATGAATATGCCGACAAAATAATTTTTGGTGGGGATGTAAATTTGTGGATAAGTTTGACCCAAGAAGTCCACGAACATTGGTCCCCCAAGAACATTGATGATTTCACAATATGAAAAAGTCATATCTAATTTCATTATAAATAACAGAGAGGAAATAAAGCAGAAACGAAGGAGGGCTATAACACGATGGGGCACCTGTTGGCGGGGATAGAGAAGGATAAACACCCCTCCACGCCCCCCTTGTCTAACGCCAGCAGTGGTATAGGAACCTCCACCATGTCCGAGACGTCAACGATCAGCCCCACAGAGTCACCCAATCAGGAGGAGGAAATTGAGAACAGAGCGTTCCCAAGTAAGCAGCAGAAATTTTTGAAAGATTTTTTTTTTAATGGGTGTAAGGGGAAGAAGTATATTCATTTTAATGCATATTCCTGCTGCCCTTTGTAGTCAAATCTTTTAAAATGATGTCTATATTGTATAGAATACCTGAATTAAAATTGTTTCAAATTTTGGAATGTAAAAAAAATGTATTTTAGAGAACTAATCCACAATCTTTTACTGCAATTTATAACATCACTTAGTTTGTTTTAACTCAGTCCCGGTAGCGAAAATAGTGCATATGAATAAAAAAGGATTGGAGATGAATAACTGACAAAAATTGACATATCTTTTTACCTCAATGGTGTCATAAGCTATCAAGAAAAAACTGTTTATATTTCAAGTAGTAAAAAAGGAAGAGGAGAAAATGCACAGTTTTTGGTACGATCAAGCAATTTTTAACAGAGTCATGCCCCTTGGACTTAGAAAAAATCCAATTATTTGCAGTTTTTGTTTATTTCCTTTGCAGAAGTTGCAGATACTAATATGAAATTTGTTATACAGATTTATCATGAGAATACCTCACATAGGTCAAGTTCTCTCTTGGGTATATGTCCAAGGGGGGGGGGGGGGGGTTCACAAACATCTCTTGTTTTCAGAAAATGTCACATGCCATTTAAATACATGTATCTCTGATTTCTGATAAGTTTGAAAAGTTGTTCTTTATGCAACAATTACATTTGATTCATTCAATGATTCTGCTGATGAAAGAGGATTGAATGAAGAGCTTTAGGTTTCTTTTATTTTAATGTGGCAGACATTTTGCTTGAAATGTTTTACTTTTAGGATGTATATCCTGGTATAAAATTGTATTGCTCTTTTTTTTGGAATAAAAAAGATCTGATATCAAAATATGAATTAATTTCAGTTTGTCAAACCCCTCAAAATGACAGAATCAGTCTCCATCGATCTGTGTCATCCGGGAGCTTGTCTTCAGTACAGAGTGCAGATCTTAGATTACCCAGTGAAGTGGGACCAATGTTTTCATCCTCCAGTGCTTTGGGCGGTGAAGCATTAAGTGGCAGTTTTACAGGATCATTAGATAGTTTTATAACAGGTGCAGCTCAAAGGATCTCAACCATGGGGAAAACTGCTTCACAGAGTGATAATGAAATTGATCAAACAGCTAGAAGATCAAGGTAGTTATATTTCATACTTCTGGTTAGATTCTTTCATACAGCTGAAAAATATTTAGGTTTGAAATATTTGTTGTTCTTCACTGTACTTATTTAGATGAAGATACAATTTAAAGTGAAAAACTGATTTTTTGGAAACATTTAATGTAAATGTTGAAGTTATGAAAGGTGATTGACTTGTGAAAGGGTGTTGAAAAAATATAAAAGAATGTTCAAAACTAGACAGAAAACAAGGTTTAAAGGGAATCATATAGATCTACTTTATGATGTTCATCATTTGCTCTCCAGTTTATGGAGGTTGATTCTTAACATGAAACAAACAGCATTTAATGAAATACCCCTTGAAAACATAAAGAATTGTTATTCCCAGATGATTGAGAGAAATGAATCAAGGTTAGCTGTTCTTTGAACTGAATCAAGAAAATCCTGTTGTTGACCATTCTTTTCTTTTGATTCTGCAGATCTCAAGAAAAGTTTGAAAAGAAACTAAAGAGAACAAAGCTGAACTCTGCAGCGGCCAAGAAACTGAACCGAAACCCCTCTACAGAAAGCAAGGACGCCTCACCCCCAGGGTCCCGGAAGGTCCGCAGAAAGCCCGAAATCACCACTCCAAGTATAGGGGCCAACTCCAGTCTAAGGTACTTTAAATATATAAAGATTAAATTCTTAAAGGGGTTGGAAAAATGGTACTGTTGTGTTTGATGCTTTCTGACCTGTTTACTCTTAAGATTTCGCCATATTTTGTACAGATTTTTAATCCAAAATACGACTCACGTTTTGCTGTTATGAAAATAAAGAAATTGGAAATAAGTTCATTTGGAATTTAGCAGTTGGTTTTCGCTATGATCTGCCTCATTTCCATGCCTTTTAATGGCTGAAAAAGAGAAAGATTTCAAACACAGAAGTGATGTCAGGTTGCCAAAAGGCTTTGGTATATATATTCTCTATTTATGTATGTAAAAATTGATGGAAAGTGAAATCTTGCTGGCAAATGCCAAATCTCACAGACAAATCTAATTAAAAATACTGAGAGAAAACGATAAGGGTAAACAGGTCTGTACTTTGAGCTAAGCACATGAAGCACCTGAGAAAAGAAAGTGAAACGTTTATTTTTAAAATTCATTGTTATTGTTATTATCCTACTAAACTCTTAAATTCTTATTTAAAATATATAATTTTACTCTGTCCCAGATGTAAGTATATTCTTGTAATGTCTTCAGTGCACCCTCTTAAACAGTAACAATTTGAAGATTTCAGAATTTGATACAAATGATGCAGAAGATATATTTAGGAAGTTGATTATATCAATAGATTTAAGACAGACCAACATCCTTAATGACATTTTCTGTTGTTTTGCAGTCTGAATAACTTCTCAGTGTTTGGAGGCAGCCCACATTTCCAGAGTCTCAGTGCTCCAGGCCCACTCAGCTTCTCTTTTACTCAGAACAACTCGGGCTCCAGCCTCGGGTCATATAATGATCTCACAGATGGTGCATGTGGACCACCAAAGATATTTCCTAGTCAGCAGTCTCCACAAAAGGAGCCACCAAATGGGTATTTCAGTGTACAAAATAGTAAAATAATTTATTATAGGGTATTTTTACAAAAAGATTTGATTGTTGTTCATAATCCCTAATTATTTGTAGAAAACATCATATTTATAACAAAACAAGATTCAGTAAATCACTAGAAACTGTCTTATGGTATTTAGAATTAAGTTCTTTATTGAAAAATCTGCTGAAAAAAACGAACTTTTATTAGTATATTTAACCTATGTAAACAAAAACATGACTCGTGCCTTTTTTACATAACAAAGGTTTCGAGCTCTAAATCTGTCTTGTTTGTCGACAACTGAAATTCAAACTTTTGATAAATATTAAAAATAAGTATTTGTAAAAAACCGAAAAATAAATTTGAAAATTTTCAGCTGAATCTGTGTCTTTGTCCCTTGAAGAACTAGAAGGTAAAGTTGATTAATATACACTGTACCTGAAAAACTTGTGTGAAAGATGAATTTTAACTAATTTTGTTAATTATTTACAGTGAGTTTCCGACATCTTTAGAACAGTTACTAGAGAGGCAATGGGAACAGGGCTCTCAATTTCTGATGAAGCAGGGAGAGCATTTTGACAGTAAGTGAAGAATCGAAGGTCAAATTTGTCCCATTTTACATTTATTTGTCATCTTTTAATATTCAGACATTTAAGTACTTATATATTTTTACCTAAATTTAATCACATTTTACTGCTAGGTTGTAGATGAATTTTTTGCTCCATAATATAACAGGTTATGCACATTTGTATATTTCTAAAAATGTATGTTTTTAATTGCAGTTGCTTCCCTTCTGCACTGTTTACACCAGTTAAAGTCAGAGAACCAGCAATTAGAGGGTCACATACAGTCCCTGTCGACACGCCGGGACCACCTGCTGGCCGTTAACGCCCGGCTAGCTGTTCCGTTCTCCTCCCCTCTGCATGCTGAGTCATTCCTCACCGCAGATAAATCTTCAGAAAAGAACTCCGAACCATCACTAGTGCAGGTAAATGTGGTGTTAATACCCTATGGTAATCCTATGTGAATCAGTGTGAGAAAAAAGCTTAAACTTCTTAGAAAATTTAATACGTTTTTATCACACTTTGTCTTCTGAGCAACAGTAGGTACATGTAGATTTAGTTGAAGTTTTGTCAGAGAGCTAAAAGTAAAAAAGTTAAAGTAAAAATCATTCTTTTGATCAGTTTCAAGTACAAAACCTTCTGTCCATGTTGTAGGATGTAACCTGTTTAACCTCTGACAATCCGGTCTTGGCTGGAGGCACCACCACAGGTAAGATTTCACCTGCAAAGCTAGAATGATGACAAAGGCTTATCTTGCAGCCAATGATGTTAAAAGAAAATGACACCTGTAGACTATCAGAAATCTTAAATCTCAGAAATGGTCAACATCAAAGGTCAAGGTTATGGAAATTATCAAGCATGATGATGGGTCATCTTTCTAGTTATAAACTAAAATATATCTTTTTAGGAGGGAGTGGGTAAATAGTTATTGCCCCCTGACAAGAAGGGAGGGCATATTGCTTTGCTACTGTCTATCGGTCAGTCTGTCGGTCCACCATCAGTTTCCGTGCATTTTCTTCGCAGAGGTTGCACATATTGAAAAATTTGGTATACAGATTTATTATAAAAATATCTAGGTCAACTTATATTTTGGGTACGATCGAGCCATGTTTTACAAAGTTATGCCCCTTGGACTTAGAAAAATTCCAATTATTTGCAGTTTCTGTTTTCTTTGTAGTGCTAGCACATATTAAAATTAAAATCTGTATACAGATTTATCATAAAAATACCTAGGTCAAATTCTTTTTTGGGTACTATCCAGCCATTTTTGACAGAGTTATTTCATTATGACTTAAAAATATTCCAGTTATTTAGGGAAGGGGGGGGGGGTTATAAGTGTTTCACAAACATCTCTTGTTGACTTGTAGGAAATATGTTTTTCAGTACATTGACAGAATTGATTAAGTTTTAGAGCATATTTCTCTTTACAGTTCCCATTACGAGTTCTGTCTCAGCCCTCCCAGCCATGGCTTCATCATTCATCAGTAGTAATCCAACACAAACCTCATCTGTAAGTATCCTTTTGACCTTATGAGTATTTACTGTAATGCTTTATGACAAGTCCTTAAATTGAAAAAAATATGAGTTTGCTCAAAGGAAAGGATGAATACACAAACGGTAAAACACGCTATAACGAAGTGCCAGGGACCGACAATTTTGCTTCAGTATGAGTGATTCATTACATACATTAATTATTCAACGTTATAATTACATCTTAAAATTTCTTTGTCCTAGATAAAGGTACAGATAACAGTTTATTTTTACTTAAATCTACTGGTTATCTCTAGGCGTGGTTAAAAAAATATTATGTGTGGGGCGGGACAAATAGACAAATTTAATCGGGGCTTGCAGCAGATGAATTTGCAGAATCATTCAAGAGCATGTAAATTTAAGGAGTATTAACTTGTGAGATTTTGATTTCATGACAATGATCAATGATTGGCTTGCATGATAATTTAATGCATTAACACTTATGGCGTTTATGCAAATTGTCATGCAAACCAGTCAATTGATCACATCATGAAACAAAAGTATTAGACATTTATTCCTCAAATAAAATCAAGGGGGTTTGAAAATCACTTTGCTAGAAGTTTCAAATCATTATCAGCCTGTTCATTTTAGGCAGGTTTTACAGTAAAACACACTTACATGTTATAATTACATTTTAAAATTTCTTTGTCCTAGATAAAAGTACAGATAACAGTTATTTTATTTTTACTTAAATCTTCTGGTTATCTCTCGGCGTGGTTAAAAAAAAAATTAGTGTATTAAGGATAAATAACACAAACAAACCTTTTTCAGAAATCAACAATATTTCTCATAGATTTACATTTAAATTGGTAACCTGAATAATGATTACCGAGTAATATGGGAGAATTTTATAAGATTTTGTCATATGGTAAAAAATTTTGTATGGAAATATATAGAAAACAAAACAAAGTCTCATATCTAAGCACCAAGGAAATCCTACAATTTCTTTATATTTCAGGGATTTGTTATGTCATTTCAGATCAAAATCAGTAAAAAAAATATATATCAAACCATGCATCCATTTTTAGCTCACCTGAGCCGAAGGCTCAAGTGAGCTTTTCTGATCAAAATTTGTCCGTTGTCTGTTGTCGTTGTCGTTGTCGTCGTCGTTGTCGTAAACTTTTCACATTTTCATCTTCTTCTCAAGAACCACTGGGCCAATTTCAACCAAACTTGGCACAAAGTATCCTTGGGTAAAGGGGATTCAAGTTTGTTCAAATGAAGGGCCATGCCCTTTTCCAAGGGGAGATAATCATGAATTTGTTAAAAATTAATGGCATTTTTAAAAAATCTTCTTCTCCAGAACCGCTGGGCCAGGAAAGATGAAACTCATGTGGAAGCATCCTCAGGTAGTGTAGATTCAAGTTTGTTCAAATCATGACCCCCGGGGCAAGGGTGGGGCCGACCCAAGTTTTACATAGGAATATATAGGAAAAATCTTTAAAAATCTTCTTCTCCAGAACCACTGGGCCAGGAAAGATGAAACTCATGTGGAAGCATCCTCAGGTAGTGTAGATTCAAGTTTGTTCAAATCATGACCCCCGGGGCAAGGATGGGGCCAAAATGGCCGACCCTAGTTTTACATAGGAATATATAAGAAAAATCTTCAAAAATCTTCTTCTCAAGAACCACTAGGACAGGAAAGATGAAACTCATGTGGAAGCATCCTCAGGTAGTGTAGATTCAAGTTTGTTGAAATCATGACCCCCGCGGCAAGGATGGGGCCAAAATGGCCGACCTAAGTTTTTCATAGGAATATATAGGAAAAATCTTTAAAAATCTTCTTCTCCAGAACCACTGGGCCAGGAAAGATGAAACTCATGTGGAATCATCCTTAGGTAGTGTGGATTCAAGTTTGTTCAATATCATGACCCCTGGGGCAAGGATGGGGCCAAGTTTTAATGGCAAATCCCAAGTTTTACATAGGAATATATAGGCCACAAAAAATCATAGAAATATATAGAAAAATCTTTAAAAATCCTTCTCAATTACCATTTGGCCAGGAAAGATGAAACTGATAGGGAAGCCATCCTCAGGTAGTGTAGACTCAAGTTTTTTTTTCAAATCATCAGGTTTGATAAAAATGGTGGGGCCAAAATAAAACGTGCAAGACTGCCCTAAACAACAATTGCAGCTTAATTTTTTACATGAGCGAAGGAAATATTCTTTTGCATTTTAAAATATATGATTTGGTCGAATTTTCTCTAACTTAGAGCAGTGTAGCCACCCTTGGACTTCCGGTACAAGAACTGTCCTTAATGCATATGATACGTAAGACCCTGTTGAGGCGTAATGTATTGAAATTTTGCATCAATAACTCTCCATCACCTGTACATTGAAATTTTCCAGCTAGAGCAATGGAAATGCGTACATAAGCCATTTTCAAGTAGCCTTAGCATAGTTACGGGAAACGAAAGGGGAGTTTATTTTTTTTTTAAATATTGCTGCTTTATTTATGATGAACAGTAAAAAAATCCTTAAAACTCCATAATATTGTCAAATGTTTTGTTAAACATGCAATTTTTGATTTCTGTTAAGCAAATCTTCTTGACTTCTGGTACTTCAAAGCTATGATTAGTGTACCCGGGGTGGCAATTTTATTAAATGGAATCATCCTCCAGGTAGTGTAGATTTTCTAGTTTGAAATCAAACTTTTAAAATGATGATAAAATGCCATATGTTTTACGCAAATAAATAAAACATATATTAATTAATAAAATACAATTATTTAGGTTTTTTGTCTATAAACATATGTTCCCCCCATGAAACACAAAAAGCTTTGGTATAAATTTGTAAAAGACCCGATGTGCTCAGGTGAGCGAATTTTTGTGGCCCCTGGGCCTCTTGTTAGCTCACCTGAGCCGAAGGCTCAAGTGAGCTTTTCTGATCAAAATTTGTCCTTTGTCTGTCGTCGTTGTCGTTGTTGTCATCGTAAACTTTTCACATTTTCATCTTCTTCTCAAGAACCACTGGGCCAATTTCAGCCAAACTTGCTACAAAGTATCCTTGGGTAAAGGGGATTCAAGTTTGTTCAAATGAAGGGTCACGCCCTTTTCCAAGGGGAGATAATTATGAATTTGAGAAAAATTAATGCCATTTTTAAAAAATCTTCTTCTCCAGAACCGCTGGGCCAGGAAAGAATAAACTCATGTGGAATCCTCCTCAGGTAGTGTAGATTCAAGATTGTTCATATCATGAGCCCCGGGAGTAGGGTGGGGCCAAAATGGCCGATCAAAGTTTTACATAGGAAATATAGGAAAAATCTTTAAAAATCTTCTTCTCAAGAACCATTGGGCCAGGAAAGATGAAACTCATGTGGAATCATCCTCAGATAGTGTAGATTCAAGTTTGTTCAAATCATGACCCCCGGGGTAAGGGTGGGGCAAAAATGGCCGATCAAAGTTTTACATAGGAGTATATAGGAAAAATCTTTAAAAATCTTCTTCTCAAGAATCACAGGGCCAGGAAAGATGAAACTCATGTGGAATCATCCTCAGATAGTGTAGATTCAAATTTGTTCAAATCATGACCCCCGGGGGTAGGGTGGGGCCAAAATGGCCGATCAAAATATGAAAAAAAAATAACCTCACTCATCATTTATTGAGGTTTTGTACAATGTAAAAAGCTGCCTCATCATATTTTGGGGGCAATAAAAAGTAAAAAAAAATGCCTCCCTCCCTCATCATATTTCTTGAAAAAAGGCCTGAGAACCAAGGAATTAATCTTCTTCTCAAGAACCATTTAGACGGGAAAAATGAAACTCATGTGAAATTATCCTCAGGTAGTGTAGATTCAAGTTTGTTCAAATCATGATCCCCGGGGTAGGGTGGGGCCAAAATGGCCGACCAAAAATTAATTCTCATAGGAATATATAGGGAAATCTTTTAAAATCTTTTTTCAAGTACTTCAAAGCCATGATTAGTAATATTTATGTAGAATTATCCTCAGGTAGTGTAGATTCAAGTTTGTCCAAATTATGATATGTGCTTTTTCCTAGCTGATGTGCTCAGGTGAGCTCTGTGGCCCCTGGGCCTCTTGTTTGTTTGTGTTAAGTACCCTTAAATTTTGATAAGTTGTCTTCATTTTTGCCAAGTGATGAATTTTATCTTTTGGTTTGATAACACTTTGTTGTGTTTAACATTATGATGATTATATTTGTAGGTATCAAATACTCCATTACCCAGTGTCAACACGCCTACAGCAATGGAAGTCTCACCTTCCTCCTTGTTAACAGATAAAAATAAATCCGACGTCACATGAACTGTTTTGTTTTCCTCATTTAATTCTGTTTTAATTATATATATTAAATTATTTATTGGAGAATAAAGATGTTTTTTAATTTGTGGCCTGTTTTCTGATAGAGGTTTGAAGAAACCTGAGTTTCTGTTTAGCAGCATTTGGCATGAAACTTAGCTTGCAGGACTTTTTCTCTATGTTTGAGTGCTCTCTATCATACTTTTTGATAATGTGAAACATAGATGTTTGGTAACATTCAACTATGGTAGAGAGCAGAGGACAACAATACAAAATATGAATAGGCACACAGGTCTTATATGTCACTAGAGTATGATGTTAAAAATTTTTCACAAATGAATTACAGATATATTCCTGTTTTAAACCAGAAGCCATAAATAAAATTCACAATTTGAAAAGCGGCATCATTGTTCACTTTAACTATACACGTAGCATGCTTCAAGTTAGATCCCGAGGCAGAGTAGTGAAACAAAGAAAAAATGCATTTCCATTAATGAGTAATAATCAGTAGTGCCCCCACCCCACAGGAACTCATGACCCAGGTGGCACATATTTCACAATTTTTGAAAAAGGCACCTTTGCTCATCATAATCATTAGCCCCTCCCCCCTCTCGATAACCCTGTCCTAGTGACATTGAAATTCACAGTTCTGGAAGAGGGATCTTTGTTATCATTAGAACTCCGCCCTAACACCGGAACCCCTGATCCAGGGGCCAAGAAATTCACAATTTGGAAGAGGCACCCTTCCTCATTTTACATGTATTTTTAGGCTTTTTTTCCACAATTCTGATATTAATTATTGTGATATCAAAACCACGAAAAATCCTGGAAAACGTCCGATATTTCGGACTAAATAACAGGTCTAAATTGGTACCGTGCTTAATTTCGGAAAATGATGACGATCAACTACGTGAATTACTTTTAGATAGAAACCATAAAATACTAAAATGAGGACTTTAGACTAAAAATTTTTAAAACTGGAGACTATAAATTAGATCCTGCTTTACTGATAAGTCCTTGGCGTCGGAAGCAAATTGAAAGGGACGGGGTGTAATTGAAAGGGAAAAAAATGAAACCTAAAAAAAATCTTGCCTTGAAAAAAAGAGGAATTAAAAGACATATAGGCGAATATTTTTGGTTAGTTCAGATAAATATAGAAACTTGAGGTTACTTTAGTTCCAAATCGATGAACATTTTATTTTGAACGCAGGTAACATATATATTACATTATCTTTATATTTAATCTCGTTTTATTAATTTTTTTGTACACAGCCATTCCTCACAATAAATTATTAAGTCCAGGCCTTTCAATATCATTGACAGCTGCTTTTTCAATACAAATGGAACTCGTAAATTTACTTACCTGGTCATTGGCCATTTACAAAATTATTTTGTTTAAAAACATTCTGATTGTACACACAAGTACTCTGAAGTTGACATTATCATGGGTACCAATAGCGTCCCCTTATTAGCAGACCTACTTGCTGTGGCCTTCAACTCGACATATAGACGACGTACTGTCAATTAACAATGGTTATTTCCATTCTTATGTCGATACGATATATTCTGGTGAGCTTGGGATAAAAGATACCACAGAGTCTAACACATCTGCTTCATATTTAGATAACATTTTACCTGAAAAAAAAAAAAACCGTTAATGGTATTCTAACAACCAAGCTCTGTGATAAATGTGATGACTGAACTTTTCAATCGTCAACTTCCCTTACTAATGCAGCAATATACCTGCATAGTACAAGGTTTATATCTCTCATATCTTTCAGATGATTCGATACGCAAGATCATGCTGTACGTATGTACACTCTCTGCAACGAGGTAAATTATTGACAAACAAATTGAAGAAACAAGAATATCAGCAGTCTCGTTTAAAGCCATGATTTCCTAAGTTCTATGGTCGATACAATGACCTTGTCAGGAAATACAATTTATCACTGATTCTACTGTTGACTGACGTTTTTCATACTAATTGTTAGTCCAGTATTATAAACCCCCATTTGAAAAGTGGGAGAGTTTATATAGCAATCGTGATGTACGTCCGTCTGTTATATGCATTGGGGTTCCAATCTCATTTCCGCAACACCTCTTATACCACTGAATAACCTTTCACGGTTACCGTAGCTCAGTCGATAGAGCGCTCGCTCCGTGATCGGGAGGTCGTGAGTTTGAATCTCAGCCGAGACTGACCTAAATTGATAAAAAACAAGAGGCCCTGGGCCTTATAGGTCACCTGAGTATCGTGTAACAACTTTCAAATAATTAAAATTGGTTCGTGTTTTACCCCAGAGGCCATGAAATTCACAATTCACAATTTTGAAAGAGGCACCATTGCTTATCATAATTATAAACTTAGCATGCTTACTCTATTTACTTAATACCCAGAGGTAGATCAGAGTAACAAAGAGAAAATGCACTTCCACTTTATAACCAGTTGTGCACCTCACCCCAAAGGAACCACTGACCCTGGGGCCACATATTTCAAAATTTTGCAAATTTTATCATAAAATGGTTGATTAATACTAAAGAGCAGATTTCAAAGCATTAATTTATTTTCAGACTATGTTACACCCCCCCCGTCCCACGGGGCATGAAATATAACCTTTTTGCTAGATGCACCTTTCTTCATCACAAATATATATATATACTTGGATCATTGGCATAAAACCCAGGAGCAAAGGAATAGATTTTCAAAGAATTAATGCATTTTCACTATATAATCAATAGAGCCCCGCCCTAACACCAGAACCCCTGACCCTGGGGCCATAAAATTCAAAATTTTTGGAAGAGGCACTCTTTCTCATCATAACTATGTACTTACTTAGTTTATTTAATACCCAGAAGCAGAGAAGAAAATTTTCAAAGAATTAATGCATTTTCACTATATGATCAATAGAGCCCCGCCCTAACAACAGAACCCCTGACCCTGGGGCCATAAAATTCACAATTTTGGAAGTGGCACTCTTGCTCGTCATAACTATGTGCTTAGTTTATTTAATACCCAGAAGCAGAGAAGAAGATTTTCAAAGAATTAATGCATTTTCACTATATGATCAAGAGCCCCGCCCTAACACCAGAACTTCTGACCCTGGGGCCATAAAATTCACAATTTTGGAAGAGGCACTCTTGCTTAACATAGCTATGTATTTAGTTAGTTAGTTTACTTAATACCCAGAAGCAGAGAAGAAGATTTTCAAAGAAATAATACATTTTCACTATATAATCTATATAGCTCCGCCCTTGCACAAGAACCCATGACCCTGGGGCCATGAATTTCACAATTTCGGTAGAGGACTCAATGCTCATTACATTCATGCCAACAGTATGACTGCTTGATGTCCAGGAGTAAAGAAAAAGATTTTTAAAGATTGCAATAATTTTGGTGGTTTTGGCCCCATCCCTCAGGCCCCAGGGGGACGGGGACCGTAAAATTCATAATTTTTGTTCCCCTTCAGCCATAGATGCTGTATACCAAATTTGGTTGAAATTGGTTCAGTGGTTTCAGAGAAGAAGCAGAAAATGTTCAAATGTTAACACACGACGCACGACGGACGACGCACGACGACAGACGAAAACAGATAGCAATAGGTCACTTGAGTTACTCAGGTGACCTAAAAATCGGTAGCAACTGTTCCTTCGCCCTGCGCACGGCACTTTAAAGTGAAAGTTGCGGGTCCTTCGGATGAGACCTTAAAACCGAGGTCCCGTGTCAAGGCAGACGTTGACACGATAAAGATCCCTCACTGCTCAATGGCCCTGAGTGCCGAATAAAGGTCAGAATTTGAAGCCCTTCGCCGCTATATGATGATTTCTCTACATGATTAAAAAATTCTCGAATGGAGCGTAAAACAACATACAATCAATCAACCATCAATCAATCATATTACCACTTAACTCTATGAGACTTTCCCAGAATCTTTATTACATATTGCCATTGTGCACCTCCTATTTTACTTTTTGATCCTACACATATCTTGGGTTTCACAAAGCAAAACATGGACATACACTGCCATTATATTCGTATGGAAGGCAGGTGTAGCATTTAATGAGCTCATTATTTCCACAGCAGTTTTGTTTAGAGCCATATCATTTCGTAAGTTCTTTGGTCGATACAATGACCATGTCAGCAAATATAATTTATCATTGAGACAAATGCTGACTGACGTCTTTCATACTAATTGTTAGTCCATTATTTTTACTCTGAATTTACGACGGATTTTCCCGTTATTTCCCGATCATGACAAGGAGCACACGGCGGGTGTGACCGGTCGGCAGGGGATGCCTACTCCTCCATGGTACCTGATCCCACCTATTTCGGAGGTCGGTATTTGCTCTTTTCCTATTTTGTATTATTTCGTGGACTTGTGAGCTTGAATACTGTTCGTTTTATCCATATTTTCCCATTTAGCCCAGATACGCAATTAATATATAGCTTTAACACACTTTTATATTTTTTCTAAGTATATTCATATAATCCGTTGAAAGCAGAGAGATTTGTGGGTATATTCAAATGGGAGTGTTTATTCAAAGCAGAACTGAGAGGACAAAGTTGTGTCAGCCAAGTATCACATTAGTTCTGATTCTAGGTACTATACTCAGGTGTAAATTGTTTTATAGGTAAATGTGAGTTAATTTCAGTGAATTTACAGGTTTTGTGCAGTATCCTTCAGTGCTTTTAAGAAAAAGGAAACATTGATCATATATTTACATCCCATTTATTTGATTATTGTAGGTAAAAAATTAAACAAAAGGAAAAAAAAATGTTTTAAAATCTTTTCTTTTTCTATCTATTTTACACCCAAGCATCTTGATAGAAATTAATATTCGATCAAAAACGAAATCTCATTATCACGATCATTTGTGAATGTAGCGTGTATTTTATCTAAAGTTGAATCCAAGGGACATACACAGCATAGTTAGACGTCAAGTCTAAGCAGTACCAAGAGAGTCTGTCTGGTCCTCATTGCCGGTATTTTCCATGCGCTCTTCTTTATCAGTATCCTCTCCATCAGATTCATTTGTGTCCTTTGCAATGCTTTGAACTGATGCTGCAATGGCAAGCAAATTGAAGTT